GACACTGAGGTATGAGGGAGCATTTGATTTGGGAAAACCAGTGCCTGAAGGTAATGGGACTGGTCTGAACTTCTGGAGACATTGGGAACATTTACCTGGTCATGTAGCTCATAACCACAGAAGACTGAAGTAGGAAGGGAATATGGAGACCGGTAGTCTTACATCAACTTTCAGAATTTCTTAGAGGCTCTGAGAGGAAAAACCATTTACCTGACTCTGATAAGGAAAGTTCTGGGGTTTGTAGACATAGTATAGGGTAAGGAGTCATAAATCCTGTGTTGAACAGTTGAACTTCAGGATGGACTAAAAAGTGAATACCTGAGTTAATGTTATTCAAGTTGTAGTTAAGACCTGGTAATTGTGTCATGAGGCTCTGCAGCTTAGGTTTAAAGCACTGAGTTGGAGGACTTATGAACTGTGGCTGTATGACCCACACTATGCTAGGACTGAGTGAGATGAAGAAAGATAGCCCCCTTGCCAAAATACATAGTCCTTTACCACTTAGAATTTTTAGTCTAGCTGAGGAGCAAAAATATTACATAGAGCCATGTGCAGTGGCACACACCTATAATCCCAGTGTCTCAGGAGGCCGAGACAGGAGGATTGTGAGTTCAAAGCCAGCCTCAGCAATGGCAAGGTGCTAATAAGCAACTCAATGAGACCCTGTCTATAAATAAAATACAAAAAATAGGGCTGGGGATGTGGCTCAGTGGTTGAGTGCCCCTGAGTTCAATATCTGGTACCCCCCCCAAAAAAATTACATCGAAAACTGTATGAAGACTACCGTGAGTAAAGATAGAATCAGGTGTGCATTTGGGTGCTATGAAGTAAAATAAGGATTCACAAGAAGTGGGATACTATCAGTGTGGACCTGAGCCATCAGAGAATTTTCATGAAGGAGGTTAGGCCTTTGAATCAGTTAGGATTGGGGTTTATGGAGAATAGGAGAAGAAAGGACATTCTAGGTAGAGATTGTAGCATGAACAAAGACATAGGGTTGGAGTGAATAAGGTGTCTGGATGACAGAAGCAGAGTTAGGATGGAGTGTACAATTTTGCTGGGGGAAGGTTGATAGATGTCCTTGAATGCTGAGCTGCAGCATTGAGACACAATCGCAGAAAGGGTTCTTTTGATCAGGAAAGTGATGGGAGGAGTTGAGCAGGTTGAGAGTGTGGAATGAGTGAATTGAAGGCAGGAGAAGATGAGACAGGGATCCCAGCCACAGACTGTCTCCTGGATGTGCAATTCAGGTGGAGAGGGCATAAAGAGCAGTAGAACAACTTGAAGTGTTACCCAGGCACAAAAACAGCAACAACAAAAAACCTCAGTGAGTGCTTATAGAATACCTGTCGTGTTATAAGACTATTTTTCATTTTCATATGAAAAAAATAAAACAACTGAAAAATTCCTAACCACTAAGGCAATAAAATGGAGCATTGTCTTTACACCTTATTCTCTGACCAAAAAGTCTGTCAGAATTCAAAAGGGCTCCTTTGGTTAGTGCCAAGAGGAATGAATGCAATGACCTGTTAAAGTTTCTTGCAGGTCAGGGACCCAGGGTTTAAAATGCCACTCTGTCCCAACCCCATGCCTTGACCTCTGGTCTGCTTGTCTTTGGAGGTTTTCACACCAGACACTGCAGCAGACCACCATGCTAGGTACCATGACTCCACTGAATACCCAAGGCGTCCAGGCAGGCGTCCGCTCAACTTCCATCCTACCTGAGCAGCAGCAGCAGCAACAACAGCAACAGCAACAGCAGCAGCAGCAGCAGCAGCAACAACAACAACAGCAACAGCAGCAGCAGCAGCAGCAGCAGTACCACATCCGGCAGCAACAGCAGCAACAGATCCTGCGGGTAAGGCCCTGAGAGGGTAAGGCCCTGGGATTCCATCCAGCACGTGAGAGCCCTAGGAGGGAAGAGAAGCTCAAGTTCTCCCGCACTATCACCAAGATTAAATGGGGTGGTGTGCTAAGCACCCAGCAGATCAACTGGCTGTGCTGGGGTTTAGGTTGGTTGTCTCCCCTCCCCTTTTTTGCCTATTGAGGATCATAGTGGGACAGAGTTGGATACTGACTGATGGGTCCTCCAAGTTTGGTTTCATTTATGCATTGGTCTGAGAAAGGAAGAGTAGACCCAATGCTCTCCCTGCCCCCATCCCTCGAATACTAAGTTGTAGCTGCCATGATGGCCTCAGAAATATCTTGTATCTTCACAGCAGCAGCAGCAACAACAACAACAGCAGCAGCAGCAGCAGCAGCAGCAACAGCAGCAGCAACAACAGCAGCAGCAGCAGCAGCAACAACAACAACAACACCAGCAGCAGCAGCAACAGGCAGCTCCTCCCCAACCCCAGCCCCAGTCCCAGCCCCAGGTAGCTGCTGGACTCCAACCCCAGGCTCAGGGACAGCTGCCCAGGTTGGGCACATAGCCAGTGATCTGGGTTGGGAATGGTGTGTAGTTGGGGTAGCAGTGGGAGGTTAAGGCATGGCACTCTACAAAGGGATTGAGAAATGAGGCTGAAGAAGGAGGCCCAGGGGGTTAGAGTTCTGTTTTCCAATTTCCCCTCCCACCTCAGTTCCAGCGCCAGGGGCTTCAGCAGACACAACAGCAGCAACAGACAGCAGCTTTGGTCCGGCAACTCCAACAACAGCTCTCCAGTAAGCTTGCCTGCCTTCCTGAGGAGAACCCCTTGGAATAAGTGGGGGACAGGGTGGGCAAATATAGCTAGGTAATTGCTTTGGGCCCAGGTTTCCTTCCCTACCTTTCTATGCCTTTCCCTTTCCCTTCCCTTCCCTGACTAGCTTTCTTCCTACATACCCATAACCTTTCTGGGTCTCCCATCCCTGACAATCTCTGGTTTTTCACAGATACCCAGCCACAACCCAGTACCAACATATTCGGACGCTACTGAGCCACGTGGAGGAACTGCTTGTGCCCTGGATGTGGCCCCACACTTTCCTCTTAATTCCTAGCCCCCCTTCCTGGGCTAGCACCAGTAGTGGTTGGGGCCCTTCCCTCAGGCTCCATTTTTAATGAGTTTTTAGTATTTTTGTTAATGTGAAGCATTGAGCTGTTGGGTTTTGTATATTATTTATATAGAGAGACCCCAGAGCTGTTGCACCCAATACACAGAGCTTCTTTGCAAAGGGAGTGTGTGAGTTCTGTGTGTCGGGGAAGGGTGGTCTCTTGGGAGAGTGCTGGGGGTTGGACAAACAAGTCAGAAGCCTTCATGCCATTCAGATCATCGCCCCCCTTTACCTTCAACTCCCTGTTCCTTTTTTTCTGAGCAGGGAATATTTTTTATTGGTACATTATAATTAAAATGATAGTGGGATTCATTATGCCATATTCATACATGCACATAGCATAATCTGATCAGTCTGATTCTCTCCGTACATTTCTTGATTCTGATTGGAGTATTACTCTCTTCCCTGCTCCAAGGCAACATATCCAGGTACAGGCTCCCAGTCTCTTAAAAGGGGTAGCTTCTTTACAGCTTTCCTTCATGGAGGCCATGCCTCTGGGATTGGGGAGGACAGTTACATCAGGGGAAAAAAATCATTGGAACTGGATTCTCCTTCTACAGCATCCTAGAAACTGGACCTCAAACAAGCGGGTGGGAGGGGTCAAGATGATGGACATTGCCTACCCTTTTTGCCATCTCGTGGTCCCCATCATGCACCAAGTGACATTCTTTTCATAGGCTAAAAATCTTCTCTCAGAGTCACATTTTTGAGATGAAAAACTGCCTTCCATTGGCAAGAGCCATCATAGAATAGGTGGCAGAAGGACAGTGTGGCTCTAAGGAGGAAGAAAGGCCAGTAAGAAATAGCACACATTTCTCGCTGCCCTGCTGCTGGAACTGCTTGTTTTCACATGACCCACCTTGGCAGTTACCCAGAATGACTGATGCTCACTCCCATTTTACAGTAGAGAAAACTCACAACTTGCTCAGAAGTCACATTTGGGGCTGTGGCTGGGCCATTCTCGGCCCCCTTGCTTTCTGCTTTGGGCCCTAGATCCAAGGCTGTGCAGAAGAGCCAATGCCTTACAACAATGAAGTCTTCTGGTGTGCCTAGCCAGGGCTGGAAGAGGACCAGTTCCAGCCTGGTGGGTGGGTGCTACAGGAAGATTTGACAACTTAAGGGCAATGTTCCATGTTCGTTGAAGCCATAGTTGCACCTTATCACTGGGAAATGTCAAATATGTTGGTAATACTGGGAGTACCAATCAATACCCAAGTCATAAAAAATAAAATCCCTCTTTGAGGTCCATCCACAAAGCCCTTATGCATATGGGATTTACAAAGTTTGAGAGTCGGTGAGTGTAAGGAATGGAACTCCCTGCCAGGATAAAGACAAACATGACTGAAGCTCTCTCTGACTTCTATCCTGACATAAACACACTGGAGCCCCAGGTGTTGACAGAAGCTTGGCTGGGATAAGGAGCCTTCAGAGGGGCCTGGGTGTGTCAGGCCCACTGGACAGGTGCACTACATACAGAAGCACACCATATCTGGGGCGGCGGGTAGAGGCTGAAACAAACAATTGGCATGCTGACAGAATCAAACCTGCCCCAACTGAAGCAGCAAAAGGGAACAGTGTTGACCTTTGGGAGAGTGACAGGATGAGAGCAAAGTGGTCCCACTGGTGGTTGCTGCTGGTGCTGAGGAGAGGTGAGGGATGCTGAATGAGGTGGCAGCATATCTTTGTGGAATATGACTGGAGCCTCCTGCGTGCAGTGCCTCAGTTTCTCCCTTTGTTCCAAGGTCTAAAGCTTTGCAGGTAAAGTTTGGAATAGCTGCCCCTGGAGATCACCTGTCAGCTTGTGATTTGAGGTGTGTGTGTGAGAAAAGGAGAGAGTGTGTGAGCAGAACATGCCTGAGCATGGGGGTGGGGGGAATTGGGCCATGCCCCAGGACTTGAGCCATCTCTGGCACAAAAGGAGTTAATGGCAGGGACCGCGCCCCCCCGTGTCCGGGCACGCGCAGCGCGCCCCCTCGGTGCGCGGGCACAGCAGCCAGGCTGCCGGAGAGCTGATCTCGGGGATTCGGGTGCCGAGCCCTTGGCCTGGAGGCGATATGGGTGGTCCGTGGCCCGGTTCAGTCGCTCGCAGCAGCCCGGGGAACAGGTGAGGCCGCCTGCCCCGGTCTCTCATCTCATCCTCTAGCTGCCCATATCTTGCTCCCATCCTATCCCCTCCCAATCTCGGGTTCCTCCACTCCCCAGCCAATGGCCCCGTCCCTCTCAACCCCATGTTCTTCATCGGCACCCCTGACCCCCCAATCCTCCCCCACTTCACTTCTCTCCTCCACCTCCTCCCTAAATCCCGCATCCCTATCATCCTCCCGCCCATGGTCTCTCTATTTCCACAGCCCAATCCGCATGCTCACCAAGATACCCCTATCCAGGGCCCCCAGCCCCATTCCTGTATTGCACATTGCCAGTTCCCCCCTCCCCTGCAGTGCAGCCCCATCCCCCTTCCATCATAGCATCTCATAGCCAGTCTCCCTCCCCCACTCTCTGCAGCCCCCCCACCCAATGGAGGCCTTTATTCTATCCTCCCCATTCCAGTGCAACTCCATCCCCCAATACCATTCCAAAGCCGCGTAGCCCCCAATACTGCAGTTCTCAATACTGGTCCATTCCTGCACAATGCCCCTCGCCCAATACGGCTCCAGCCCCCAAAGTGCCCCCAGATGCCATTCTCATCCCTGGCATTGCTGCCTCCCCTTCCCTTTTCCCAAATTGCAAGTTGGACCAGGATGGAGATCTTGGCCTTGGGAACTCACAGTGGGTCCTAGGGTACAGAGGGCATTTGGGGGTCGGTTGGTTTGTCTAGGTGTTCACGGGGGAGGGGCTGCAGGGAATTGACTCAAAGGGGAATTTGGCATTTGGCGCCGAAGGGTTACTGGAGAGGGAGGCATCCTGAAAGGGTTAATGGATTTCATGAGGTGGGGGCAGCACCGAGGGGGTTAATGGGGGGGGTTGCTGGCGGGGAAGCCGTGTGAATGAGCGGTCTGTGCCCCAGAGTTGCCATGGAGACGGTGAATGGGGGGATTGTGTGAACTCAGCTGCGGACTATTCCCCCCCCATATACACACCCACCCACTCCCTCCTGCCCCACCTCCCTACTCCTACCCCTTCCTTCCCCTTCCCCTCCTCCTCTCCACCAGGGTGCATTCTGGGCAGTGTCTGGGATTTCCCCCCCATACTTTGCTCCCCATTTCCTCTGAGCCCCCACCCTTCAGTCACTTTACCCGCCCTCCCTCCTCCTTTTTCCTCTCTCTCTCTCTCTCTCTCTCTCTCTCTCTCTCTCTCACACACACACACACACACACACACACACACATTCTCATTCCCCTCTCGTGGTGGCAGCCGATTGCCGGGCGTTCCCAATCTCCCTCCCCCACCCCTTCAGCCACTTCTTAAAGGAGCAGGCCTGCAATCTCGGAAGGCGGGAGAATGGGGAAAAACTAAATGTGCCTGTGGTGTGTGTGCGTGCATGAGCATGTGCGTGGGTGCATGGGTGCCCATGCTGGAGCATCTGTGTGTGCCTGTGTATATGTGTTGACTGTGTAACTGTGTCAGAAGGCCTGTGTCTGAGCGGGTTGCTATTTCTGTTTCTGTCTCCACCTATGTGTCACCATTATGCTGCATGTGTCTGGATATTTACCTATGCGGGTATGTGTGATTATATTTCAGTAGGTCTCTGTGTGTGTCTCTGAATGTATCACTATGTGAGGCTTTGGCTGTGTGAGGCACAACTGTCTCGGAATGTGGGACTATATGAGGGGATCTCTGTGGGCTTTGGAATGTATGTCTCTGTGAGTGAATATCACAGTGTCTGTGATCCTGGCTTGGCTTCTCTTACTCCCTCTTTGAGTCTTTGTGGGTCTATTTCTATGAATCTCTGAGTGTGTGTCCCCACACTCTGTTGTTTATTTTACACTGGACTAGTATTGACAATGCCTAGCATGCTAGGCAGACAGGTTCCTGCCCTGGGTTCTGGCATTCAGTGTGAATTAAGAGATAGCCAGCAGAAAAGACCAAGACTTAAGGATTTGGGAGCAGTGGTGGGTATGGTAGGGTCTGGGGACCCAGGTGAATGGCCATCAGTGCCCTCTGCCCTGCCTGAGGGTTTGGGGATCTCTCTGTGGGACTCTGCCTATCTTCTGCTTTTCAGTTTTCTGCCTTATTGACCTGGAGTGAGATGAACAATCCTACCCTGTCCTAATGGGGAGGTCCCTGTGTGGGATTACTGGGTCCCAGGGGCTAGACAGCTCCATATTCACACAGCATGCCCAGAGATCCAAGATCTATTTCCAGCTCTTCCCACCCCCTGCCACCACCTGCTACTTTGACTCCAGCTGACCTCGATGATCTCCATTGGCTGTGGAATTGAAGTTGGGGACTATGAACTTATAGTGGCAACAATTGTCACTCTGACAACAATTGTCACCCTTTGGATTTCCCAATCATGGCCCGGCACATAGAATGGTTTTGACCAGCAATGGATCACCTACTGATCCACTGGAAACCTGAGTTCCTGGAAACCTGGGCATGTGAAACCTCTCTTAACTGTAGGAGAATAGACCAAGCCCAGCAGGACCCCTCGGTAGCCCTCCCAGGCATCTTGGATGACATGTGCTTCCCTCTTTCCACAGGCCTGTCTGGCCCTGAGGGAGTCCCCTTTCTGAAGCGGTGGTGCTTGGACGACCAGCTCTCCACGTTGCCGGGCACCTGTAGGTGTCCCTCGAGAGCACAGTTTTGAGGTTCAAGTCAGTGTGGCCATGAAGGGGCTGCCTATTGGGCTGATGCTGTGACCCTGGAGTCTGCCTCTCCTGCCAGTCCCCCTGCCCGGAACATGTGGCTGCGGCTTGGCCTGCCCTCGCTGCCCCTGAGCCCCACGCCCGCAGTTGGCCGGAGCCTGTGCCTCACCCTGTGGTTCCTCAGTTTGGTGCTGAGGGCCAGTACCCAGGCCCCAGCACCCACAGTCAATACTCACTTTGGGAAGCTAAGGGGTGCCCGGGTGCCATTGCCCAGTGAGATCCTGGGTCCTGTGGACCAATACCTGGGGGTGCCCTACGCAGCTCCCCCGATCGGCGAGAAACGTTTCCTGCCCCCTGAACCACCCCCGTCCTGGTCGGGCATCCGGAACGCCACACACTTTCCCCCAGTGTGCCCCCAGAACATCCATACAGCTGTGCCCGAAGTCATGCTGCCCGTCTGGTTCACTGCCAACTTGGATATCGTCGCTACTTACATCCAGGAGCCCAACGAAGACTGCCTATATCTGAATGTCTATGTGCCCACGGAGGATGGTGAGTGCTGTGGCCAGGCACTGTGCCCTCCCTGCCTCCCGCCTGCCCTATTGTGTTTGTGGCTTGCATGTGATTGTGTGCCCTGCAGCATGCGTCTGTCTGTCTGTGAAAATGCTTCTAACCATCATTCTGCTTGGCTTCCCCCTTCCCCCTCCCTGTTCTTCCCTCCCCAGCATTGTCCGAGCTCCCATGTGTGAGTGACACTGTTGCCAGGAGGGGCCTGGCCAGGCCTGAGAGCTTTGACAGGTCTAGGTCCAGTGCTGGATGGGGGTTCCCTGGGGGAGTATGGGTCACTGCTGGCAGCTGCCCGCGGGAGGATGCTGGCTCCACCAGGCCCCCCTGCTGCCATTCCACCTGCTTCTAAAGGTGGTAGGTGTGTGTGGCCAAGGGAGCTGGGTGTGTGTGGGGGGCGGGGGGCAAGCCTGGTGGGCAATGCTTAGGTGCCTCCTCTTTCTGATGCCTCCTCCCGCGGGGGTCACACAAAGGTAAGTGACAGAAACAAGGAGATGGTGGGACAGGCTCTCTGCCATGTGCCGCCTGCAGAGCAGCTCAGCTCTTGGGGTCTGGGGGGTGGGGGGTGCATGCCCCTGGGCAGAGGCCTCCTGTTATTTTTTAGTTTTTTATTCATTTTACAGTAAAGCGGATTTCCAAGGAATGCGCCCGAAAGCCCAACAAGAAAATATGTAGGAAAGGAGGTAGGTAGCGAGCCGGCGGGGAGGGAGAGAGAGAGAGAGGGAGGGCTGCCTGCCCACCTGCCCTTGCCCCTGAGGACCCTGTCTTCTTTCAAGTAGCCCAGGCTCAGGGAGTGGTGAGCAGGCATAAGGTCCACCTCATCCAAGGGTCCTGGCTGCTTTGCAGGGAGGATTTGGTGGCCTTAGACAGGTTCAGAGCAGAAGAAGCGACCCCATTGCTTCCAGTCTTCCCAGCTCCAAATTCCAGTATAAAGTGTGTGCCAAAGACAGAGCTAGTGGCTCTCTTGGTGACACCTCAAGAGAAACTCTAGGCAGCCAAGATGGAGCCAGAGGATTCCCCATCCTCAGGGAGTGGAGCCACAAGAATATCCCTCCAGTGCTTTGTTCTGGGTTGAAAGTCTGGGCTCAACTCTTCCTACCTGAAGCTTAGACCAAACATGTATACGTAGATTTAGTTATTCCTTCCACACACACCCCAGGCCCCTGCCTTACCACTCCGGTCAGAACCTAGTTGAGAGACCCAGGCTGCTGTGGTGGCAGAACTTGGGGGGTGTCTGGGCACTATGGATTGTAAGGGAGGCAGACTGTAAATTTACCCTCTTGCTCAGAGAAATTTCTCTCTGCCTATTCAAGTACCACTTTATGTTTTCCACAAAGTGCTCTCCTATTTAATCTCATAAAATTCTCCCTACATATTAGGAAGCAAAGAAGGCAGGAATTAGTATCCAATTTTCCAGATGAGGAAACAGGCCCAGGGGAGTGACTTGCTTCTGCTGGAGGCCCCTGTTGCTGGTCTGTGGCAGAGCTGGGACCAAAACTTAGGTCTCTGACCCTCAGGGCGTGTTCTTTCCACTGTAGTTCAAGGAGGCAACTCGCATCTGGTCCTTCCCACCTCCCCAACTCTGAAAAAAAGAAAGAGATGTGGCCTGATTTGGGCCAATTCAGAAACAATAAAGCCAAAGGAACAGGAGGACAATCACAACTCATCCCTATATCCCTTTGGCAAGCTTGGAGTTCATTTTCTTTTGATAACATAGAGCAGGGTTTCTCAGAATGAAATCATCAAGATTTCTGGGTGGGATGTCCCCTACTGCATAAGAATTTCTGGGAATCTACACGTTGAACATGTGCCCTGAGTGCTTCTGATGCACACTGGAGCATGGAGTGAGACACAATACCTAAAGGATAGTTTTTTCCCACCTCTCCACATCTAACCCAGGACCTTACACATAGTAGGTAATACATCAGTATTTTTTACACAAATGCAGAAGCATTATGGTGCTATAGAAAAGGTCTGGGAAGCACAAAACCTGACTGAGTCCCAGCTCTGCTGCCAACTCACAGTAAGACCACAGGCAAGTCTTTTCCTCTAAGAACCTCTGTTCTTCAGAACCACAGCTAAAGGTGAAAGGAGACCATTCTGACCTTAACATTCCATTAGTCTCTAAATGAATTCAGGAAGAGGGTCTCTTGAACCTGCTCCTATAAATTACATGGTGGGATCTGGTGAGGAGAAGAGATGACAGTAACATGGACCATTTCTTAGGAAGAATGATCTCTCCAGGACTCCAGTAAGCACCCAGGGTTTTTTCAGTCTAGCCCTGAGACTGGCTAGAGAGCTGACTGGAAATCCCCACTCAATACATTTACCAGTGGCCATTGTGGATGAGAGGCGAGGCCATGTGCTACGTGCTGTTAGGGTATGGAGTGATGTGAGGTAGAGGAGAGATTTTGAAGACTAAAGACCTAATTACTGCCCTGAAGAAGTTCCTAGCCTGATATAGAAAACTCAGCGGGTTTCCCCAAGCCCCATAGGCTAGACTGGGAAGTGGGCAATTTGGTCATTTAGCTGTTCAAATGAGACTTCTCCAGGGCCTGTTGGCCATTTGGAACAGTTCCAAGCCTTGCCTCTTCGGGGAGACCCATACCCAGAGGTCATCATGATGTGCTTAGGTTAGGTGAAGCGGCCTGGGTGGGATCCTGCAGCTGCACAGTATCTGGGGATGGTGCCTGGCGAGGACCGTGGCAGCAAGGAATTGTTCAGCAAGGGCCAAGTTGAAGGAGCAAAAGTGTCTGTGTGAAGGAGACTGGGACAATGCAGCAACACAGAAGTGTGCAGAAGGGACAGCATCTTTTAAACCAGGGACAATGGATAAGAAGGGAAGGGTTTCCTGGGGAAGACATGCCCCACTCACCCACCCCATCAAGTTGCAGGGAATTGATGTCTAGGGATAAGTGATCCCTTTTAGTTTGATGGGCTGTCTTCTGTGTGGGTGATGATTGATGACCATGTCCCATCAGGTTTCTGAGGCAGCACTGGCAGGTGCTGAGCTAACATAAGACCATAGGTGCCACTGGAAGTTTAGGAAGCTGGAGGCAGTTTCTACCCTAGGGCTGGGCTCTTGCCCTAGTTGAAAAGCCATTTTGTAGTATGAGGGCAGTTCCTGTTTTGATTAATAGCTATAAGGAAATCCAGTCACCAGAGCCCAGAGCAGATGAGAAAGAGGGCTATTTGCTTCCTCTAGGCTGAGAGTATCTGTTATAAGATATGCAAGAGGGTAAACCCTAGGATGCCAGCAGAATTAGCTCGATTTCCACACACTGATCAGCATCCAGGCAGGAGATCGCTCTCTCCACAGCCATTCTGAGATTCACTTCTAGTCTCCTTAGAACAGGAAGAATTGGTACCAGCTTACCCCCAGGTCCTAAATGTCTGCCCTCTATTCTCTTCTTTTCTCCCTTCTTCTCCCCTTCCCCTATGCTCCACCTCTTTTCTCATCTGTTTCTTCCCTTCACTTTACCCCATCACCTAAAGGTGGCATGGTGCAGTGGAAAGACCATGGGCTTTGGAGTCAAGCAGACTTTGGTTTGAATTTCACCTCTAGCACTTCCTAGCTGTGTGATCTTGAGCAAGTCACTTTACCTCTCTGAACCTCAGTTTCCCCATCAGTGAAACAGGAATAAGGAATAGTACCTACCTCATTGGGGAGTAAGGATCAAACAATATGGCAGAAGTAGAGTGTCTGGCACATGGTAAATATTTAGTAGATGGTAGGAACTAATTACCATTATTCCTATCTCTTTGTTTCTCTTCTCTTCTCTCTCTCATCATCTTTTTCTGCTTTTCCCCATTTCTTCCTTCCCTCCCTGCCCTCTGGCTCTCTCTACATCTCAGAGCAATGCTTGCTGCTCTCAAGACTGGTTCCTGTGGGCAGGCACCCCACTTGCCATTAACCATAGCAGGAGGCCCCAATGAACAAGGCCAGAGGGAAAGTTCCATCTCCCATTTTCTCCTGTGGGAATCAGGGTCAGCTGAGGCCCAGTTTGAGCCTGCCCACTGGGTCCCAGAAGCTCAGGCCTGGGGTTCCTGGAACACGTCTCTGCCCTAAATACCTCCCATGGATATTCACATGTGCTGGCAGTGTCACCCTTCATCTTCAATACCTGCCCCTGCTCTCCAGCTCCACCTGCCTGTGTACACATGCACAGCCCCTTCCACCCAGAATGAATCCTTCCCCTGAGTGGGTCTCTGGCTTTGTGCCCTGGCCCACCTGCTGCTACCTCCTTCCAAACTGGGAAGGGGTTGGTTGAGAGGGGCTGTTGGGGACAGGGAGGTGGGGCAGGGAGGTGCAGGGAGGCCAGCACAGCAGAGGCCTGCAACACCATCATCCTAATAAAGGTCTGGGCCTCAGCCCACCCATTCCCTCAGTTCTTGCCATCCCTCCTGCCTGTCCTGGGCCCAGGCCCAGAGCTGGCTTGCTGGGCCACACTGCAGTCATGCTGTTTTTGAATTCTCTCTCTGTTTTGTTCTCTGTTCTGTACTGTTGTGTCTCCCCGTGTCTGGTCCCCAGGATCCGGCGCTAAGAAACAGGGCGAGGACTTAGCGGATAATGACGGGGATGAAGATGAAGGTATTTGGGGGCTGCAGGGCGCGGCGGCTGGTGCATGGCACAGAGCCCCTCCCCTTCTCAATGGGGAGAAGCCCCGTCTGTCTGTCTGTCCGTCTGTTGGTGTGTTTCTGTTCCTGTATGAGGCCGTCAGGCTGTTCCTCCGTCTTTGGCCTTGTGGGCCACTGGGAGTTCCGGGGTGATGGACATGGCTGGCAGGAGCAGGGGACCACAGGCAGAGCCATGGGGAGGGCATCTTCCTCACCCCAGCCCCATACCCTCCCCTATTTCTATAGTTCATGGGCACCTGCCCCTACTGAGCAGCAGGGAGAGTGGAGAACAAGTGGAACCTGGGGAGGGTGGCGAGAGGGGACCAAGGAAAATGAATGCCGAGGAACTGATGTTTCGTGGAAGAGACCCCTGTACCTTAGAGGGAGCCTGGCTCCCGGGACAGGGGCCAAGCTAGTCAGCACTCTGAGAAGTAAGATAGTGACAAGCAAACGGGCTAGAACCTCCTCAGTATTGTCCCAGAAAGAGAGAGATGATGATCACAGGGTTACGGGCTGCAGTAGGTTCAGGACAGAACAAAAAAGATGTGGACTAACATGCCAGGCTGAGGCCAGGACACCACAGCTGTCAGTAGATGGCACAAGCTCCTTGGCTGATGATCGGCACAGCCTGCCTCCTTGGGGTAACAGATTCGTTCATTTTGCAGCAGAGCATTCCCCTCTACCTCCATGCCCTCGTCCTGCCCCTTCACCCCTGGAAGGGCCAGACAGCTCAGGGGGGCCCACTGGTGATGGGTAGGGCTATGTTTGTGTGGCAGAGTGTTGGTCCAGCTCACCAACTGACAGGTTTCAGGCAAAGGTGATCAGGCCTGGAAACTTCTCTTGACTGCCCCAGCCCCAACGCCATGTTGCCTGGGATTGGGAGCAGCCACTTGCTGGGCCCTCATTGAATGGCCTCTGGGGAGGCTTCATCTTCATCTTATTGCTGACTGGGAGCAGGCTCTCTCAGTTCTGCCCCAACCCCAGTATTTCTGGTTAAGTCTGCCTGGGAAGAATGGGGTAAATGGGCACGTGGCTGAGAAACCATGTCAATAAGGTTCCCCCAACCCTATCTCTGCTATTCACTCCCCTTTCCCCACATCCTTCCTTGTTCTCTCCCTGTGCCACCCCATATTCCCACCCCTCTTGTCTCTGTCTGCACTGGGGGGCCAGCTGCTGCCAATGGCCGTTTTTCCATGTAAATGGTCTAGTCTTGGGGGTTTCAGGGCTCCCCAGCCCCTGCTCTCTAAAGCCATGTCAGGTCCCAGGACTCCCAGGTGCCCAGGGCAGGGACTCACCTAATGCAGCTAAGAGACCAGTCCTCCCTCTTCCTGCTGCCTCCCCACCCCCAGAGCCCAGCCATGGCTGACCTAGGCCTAGAAGTATCTGGCTATCTTCAGTTGGGAGGCACTTGAAATCCAAGTCTCTCAAAACATCTCTGAAGTTCAAATATCTCTGACCAATTCTTGAGGTCCGGGATGAGCAGCCCCCATGAGTTCTGCCCTCAGGGATGGCAGTGGTGTCCTGGCACCTGGGATAGCTTTGCTGCCCGCACCCCCCCAGGGCTGGCGGGGGTGGGGGAGGAAGGGCAACCTACCCAGCCTGTGTCTCACCCCTTCTCCTTGCAGATATTCGGGACAGTGGTGCTAAGCCTGTCATGGTCTACATCCACGGAGGCTCTTACATGGAAGGGACTGGCAACATGATTGATGGCAGCGTCCTTGCCAGTTATGGCAACGTCATCGTCATCACCCTCAACTATCGAGTTGGGGTACTAGGTATGTTCCCTGCCAGGTGCCTAGAAGGAAGACTGGCATCTCAGGGAGGGAGGGAAGAATGCCAGAGAACTCAAAACAGGCTGCCTTGATTCTCTAGCTGGCGTAATGATCATAGTCAAAATGTTGTTATCCCATAACCCCTATCTAAGTTCTGGGGGCTTCCACATATCCCCAGGCCCTTTCTTGGAATATTAAGAAGCCACTAGAATTGCAGTTCAAACTCATCCCTTCTCTTAGATTCCAAGCCAGGTCTCTGCACCCAGACTTTTACTTGGCTATTTTGTAGGGTCTATTTATTCGCTAGTGTCCTGTTCCTTACCCACCCAGCCCTATGTTCCTAAAGATCCTATATATAGAAAGATATTCCTTCTATTCTACCCCATGTCCATAGAGTCATATACCATTGTATGTCCACCCTCCACCTACCCCCATGCATATAGTTATTTCTCACCCGCAAAGCACACATGCATATAGCTCCATGTCCACATCATAGACTCCCTCACCTATCGACATATTCTCCTGCCACTCCACATATATACTCCAAGTGTAGTCTCTTCCATACACATATACACATACCCACACATTCTATATGCTCCACACCCACACAGGTTTCTCTCACATTCCATACTCACACACAAACACACACATTCTCCTAATACTTCTCCCTATATCTTATCATATCTACACCTATCCACACTCACACTTTCCTCTACCCCCATATTTACACAAAGACCTACAACCTGCATATTTTTATCAACACCTAAACCCCACATACATTAAATGTTCATAAATAGTCCTTCCACCCACCCACACACATGCATACACACTCATATCCTCCTACACATCCCACTTTATCTACTCCACACACCCACATACTACACATACACACACATCTGTCCCTCACTTTCTCCATGTAAAACAAATATTCTCCCTCCCAATATGATATATAATCCTTACCTGTATGTCCAGACTGCCCAACCCCACATATTCACAAATACTACACACACTCTCTCTCTGCCCCCATATATATCCTCTTCCCACATCTTACACACATACCATAAGCTACATTCATATATCCCCCCATATATACACACACCCATACACACCCATAGACCCCCTACACATATATACACACACATATATGTATGCATACACACATATACATACTCTTCCCACACATGCCATATATATATATATATACCCAATATATGCATGTGTATTTATTCCTTCACCCCACACACATCCATGTACCTAAAGCTGCATCTACATACACACACACACACACACACACACACACACACACACACGTCTACCTGCAAACACATTCATGCTTCCTCCTACACTTACATGCCCCACATATACATTTCTTCTACCCTCTACCCAGCATCACCCTTGGTGATCACCAATGCCTACCTGTGGCCAAGGTCTTAAGGGAAACAAGTGCCTCAGAGAGGCCAATGATACACACAGGGCCTTTCTCCCTTTAAGATGCTCACCCAGGCCCCATGTCCCTGTAGTGGCATGAAGAAGCCAACTTCTTACCTGGAGGATTTGTGTCTTCAGAAGTTCCATTAGGGCCTAGGCTGATGGAGACTGAACCACCAGTTAGGCCTGGCTTATTCCATGGCCAGCTGGGGAAGAGGACCTTATTTTAATTTGCTCTTGACTATATTGCTTTGCCAGTTCCAACCCCAGAGGTCCTGGTGCTGCATTTCGCTTCTTTGTATGGTTGTGTGCACAGAAAGGCAACCTCCTGTTGACTTACCTGTGTGCAATAGTAGGATACCTATTTTAAGCTCAGAGTGGAGAAATTATATTCTCTGAAAAAAGCAGTCTGTTTCCCCTTCAGCAGCTCCTGAGACCAGGTGGAGCATGCAGGGCATGCTCCTGGTCTCCACACAGCCTGGTGAACTTGGATCTCATAGTTCTGCCCATGCTCCTCTATCTTTCTGCATTGCCTCAGACACCATAGCAGGGCTCCTGTAAGTTCTTCTATCCTGTAGAGAAAGGAGATCTGAATGTCATAATACTGTAAAGGTGACTGTACACTAGGACTGCACAGTTCCTAAAGTGTAATGAATGCACAAACATAATCACATACAGATATATAGACATGCATACAGGGTAGTTGATAGCTAAAAGTAATTTTTCTTAAAGTAATAGAAAATATTCATTCCAGCTGCTTTTAAAAATTATAAAACACAAAGCTACATTCTATAAGATTTATTGGAATGTACTGAGAATACTAAGAATATACTTCAGTTGTAAATTATCAGGCCAACAAGGAATGGAGGGAAAGAGTGTGGAAGAGAGGGAAAGAGGGACAAGTGAGGTAGAGAAGAAGAGGACTGGGGAGACAAAAAAGAATGATGGTGACATGGAGAAACAACACAAAGAAGAGGCAGAGGAGAGGCTCATAAGATTTAAGAAGAGAGAATTTTAATCGGATATGAGGTCTCCACGGTGTCAGTTGGGAGCTGTGGGCTGCACAGAAGGTTGTCATTGGTGAGCACTCTGTATGATGTTCTGATTTGCTGATTACTTCATCACCCTTCAGCTGCTCTAATCCTTAAGCTTCTATATCAAAAGTTCTTAAACTTCTGGGGAGTCTTGGGCTCTTCTGAGATTCTGATGAAAGCTATGGACTCCCCAAAATGAAACACACGCATTTACAAAAACAATTTCACAGATCCCCTTAAAGCTCATCCGTGAAACTCAGGCTAAGAACCCCTACTTTACAACCTCCTCTCGTTGGGATATTCAGAGCAGCACATGTGGGGGAGCAGGAATATTATTACTTGGGCTTAAGCAGTTGATGATCCAAATAATATTACCCCACACTCATAAGTAGTTATAAACTGAGATTTGGTCAGAAGTTCCCTCACTACTTCCTGTGTACCCTTTAGTTCCTGTTCTGGAACACAAATATAATCAATAAGCCACTGATTGCATTCTGGGTACATACAAGATGTTTTTGTCTCTTGGCACCAGATGTAGTACATGGGTTTGTCCCTGACACATGGGGATTTTGCTGTGTAGCTGAAGCTTTGTTGCTTTGTTTCCCAAAGCACCACAGAACAGGTGGCCAGTTTTGGACCCCAATTATATGCATTCATTCACCCTCCCTCCCATCAGCTTCTCCTGAGCACTGAGCCCAAACAGACGGTTCACTCTAAGGTAGTTCTCTAGACATCTTGGCTGATTCATGTATGTTGACAATGTCACAGTCTAGTCCCTGGATTCCCTCCAGCACAGAAGGGTAGCTATTATTTGAGAAGCCCCAACTGGGCTTGGGGCCAACAAAAGAAAAGGACTCCAGCAGGTTATAGGATGCGGATTCTCCTGGGGTTGAGGAAATAGGGGCTTGCCAAGTTTTATTCTGGGTTCCAGAATTAATTTAATTCTATTTCCTTACTCAGGTACCCTCCAGGCAAACTGAGAACCCAGTACACACCAAGCCTTGAGTGACACAGATATCTAGCTTTGACACAGTCTGCCAGATTCCCCCATCTTCTGTTGAAAAGCTTACCATGTACTGCAGTACCAACTTGGGCCCAGGGAGACTGGCTCAGATTTATTCTGACAGTACATAGAGTTGGCTGCTTCAGCCTCCATTCTCTTGGTTTCTGTAGATAGGAGAGATCCTGGAGAAGTAGCAGCATGTGACTGCTCTTCCAGATCACCAGGTTTTGTGTGCTCCGGGTCAGTCATGTTCACCATATCAACTGCCTGAGCCTGTTGGATATGGTACCTGAAGCAGGATTCTTCTTGTAGTAAGGATCATTGGCATGGCACCATCCACATACTTCAATGCCCCTTATCCAGAGGCTCATGGGATTTAAGAGAGCAGAGAGGGGTTGTCAAACCATCCACCTAGGCTTTCAGACCTTAGTTCCTAACCCAGAAAATCAGTCCATATTAAAGAAATTTACTACATTCAACTGCAGGCTTTTTCCTGCTGATTGGGACAGACATTCTTGACACATTTCGTTAGATGATGGCTTGGTGAGGGCTGAAGCCAAATCTGCTATTGCCTAAGTGAGAGAAAAGGAAAAATGAATGTGGGGGAGGGAGATAAGGGGAAAGGGGGATGAACAGAAGCACATCAGAGGGTCTCAAGGCTTGGGCACCTGAGTTGGGTCTTGGTCAGCATAGATTTTAAGGGGTGCAGGAGCAGCATCAGTTTCTTCACGGGCCAGCCTGAGAAGCTGGTTCCCTCGTCTGGAGGAACAAGGACTCCTCAAGTTCATCCTTGTTCAACCTTCCCCTAATTCCTTCTCCTTTCCTCATCTGAACCCTGGGGCTGAAAACAGGATTTGTGACTAGGTCCTTGAAGGAATAACTAAGTGCTTTATGTACTTAATCGTACCAAATATAAATTAATAACACACTTGAAGAGGGTAAGATGAGCTCTTTCGTAGAAGTTAGGCATAGAAGGATTTGAGAGAGACAGTGATGAGGTCTTATGCCTGCTTGAGTCCATTTGTAATTAGCCTCTTCCCGTGGACTGCCAGACTTCCAGAGAGCTTTCTGAGAGCTCTGGACGCCTTCTCCAATATGGCCTTACACCAAGTTGATTCCAGGAGCTGTGAATGAGCTTTTAACTGCGGAGTCAAAAAAAAAAAAAAAAATACTGATCCAAGTATGGGTTTCTATGTGGAGGATCACTGTAATTACCCATCTGGAAAGGAACCTTCCAAAAGCCTAGGGCAGGAGAAGCTAGGACCTTCCATGGGACCTGGGAATCATGGAAAAGAGATGAAACAAGGCAGCAGGATCAGTCTAAAATGGAAGCAGGATGGGGGGGAATATAGGACATCCTCTGTGGGATAGCCAGCAGGTGGGCGGGAAGGTAATCTCCATGGCAACAAGTCTCTGAGGCAGCAAATCCCAGCAGGTGGGTGGGAAGGTAGTCTCCATGGTGACATGTCTCCTCAGCGGCAAATCCCAGTGGGTGGGCGGGAAGACCTGTTTCTGTGGTAACGCAGAGCACTGACTTCCCCATTTCTCCACTAGATGAAAAAGATGGTCTAAGCCACTGGCTTTGCAACTTTAGAAGGCATTAGCATCACCTGGAGCTAGTTAAAAACACAGATTGCTGGCCAGGAGCGGTGGGTGTAATTCCAGTGACTCAGGAGGCTGAGGCAGGAGGATGGCAAGTTCAAGGCCAGCCTCCTCAAATTAGTAAGCCCCTGTCTCAAAATAAAAAAGGCTGGGGATGTAGTTCAGTGGTTTGCCACCCCTAGATTCAATCCCCAGTACTGCAGAAGAAAAGATAAACACGGATAGCTGAGCCCCACCTCCAGGGTTTCTAATTCACTAGATCTTAGAGGAAGGGAAATAAGGATGTGTCCTGAGAATAAGGGGAAGGGGGGCATCCAATGCCCTGGAAAGAAGTGGAAATGGACTGATTTGTATAGGAAGGGCAAGGAGAGCTTAGGAATTGTTGCCTTTTGGGATCTTCCCTTCCTTCAGAGAGAGAGCGGAAAGGAGAAAGAAATAACTGTAGCTCTACCATGTGCTGGGCTTATGCTCATTTTAATCATTGTTATAGCCCCATAAGGTATTTTAGTCCCATTTTGCAGAAAGGAAAACTATGGCCCAGAGATTTTAAGTAACTTGCCCAAGACCACATGGCTAGGATGTGATAGAGTCAGGATTCAAACCAAGGACTATCTGACTTTAAAACCCCCTTCATGTATGTGTGTGTGTGTGTGCGTATATATATATATATATATATATTTCAAGGCCAGCCTCCTCAAATTAGTAAGACCCTGTCTCAAAATAAAAAGGACTGCAGATGTATATATTTCTACATCCCCAGTCCTTTTTATTTTTATATTTCCTTTTTTTTTCTGGTACCAAGGATTAAACCAGGGTTGCTTAACCACTGATCAATATCCCCAGCTCTATTTTTATTATTTATTTATTTTTATGTGGTGCTGAGTATCAAACTCAGGGTCTCACACGTGCGAAGTGAGCACTCTACCACTGAGCCACAACCCCAGCCCTATTTTTTTTTTTTATTTTGAGACAGAGTCTCACTATCTTGCTGAGGGCCTTGCTAAGTTGCTGAGGCTAGCCTGAAACTTGTGATCCTCCTGCTTCAGCCTCTGGAGTCACTGGGATTACAGGCCTGCACCACCATGCCTAGCTCCCTATATCTTAACAGATGTTAGAATCATGTCTCCAGATAGTATATCTGGTGGAGGATACTGAATTCTGGCCTTTTACAGTTCCTGCAGTAGAGGAGGCAGCCATTTTAAATGGCCCAACCCTTTGTTCCACACTGGATAATGGATGGGAAGCAGGGAGCCCACCTTTCCTGTATTGATGATGCTGGACCTTGCAGAAAGGAGTGATGGTTTATGTTAGCAAGGTAGAAAGAGCTATGTAGCTGCCAGTTGATCTTTTGTCTAACTTCTGCTTTCCATCATAATCCAAATTCTCCATCCCTCTGCCTTCACTATCCTCATGCCCTTTGTTGAATCTAGGTTTCCTGAGCACTGGAGATCAGGCTGCCAAGGGCAACTATGGGCTCCTTGACCAAATCCAGGCCCTCCGCTGGGTGAGCGAGAATATTGCTTTCTTTGGAGGAGATCCCCGCCGTATTACCGTCTTTGGCTCGGGCATCGGTGCATCCTGTGTCAGCCTCCTCACACTGTCACATCACTCTGAGGGTGAGTAGCTCTTGGGGCAAAACATGGACTAGCCAAATGTTGGCTAAGTATCCTGAGTCCCAGGCTTTGCAGGCTTCAGATTGCCTAACTCCATGCCCCAGGAGCACTCAGAGGAAGCAGCCAGCCCTCTTCCACAAGCTCCAGATCCCTTTGAGGAGATGTGGAAGAGAGAAAAATCTTTCTCTAGGGGAAGAAGTATTTCTCCTAATGTGAGGGAGGGCAGGAGAGAATCCCATTTACACCCTGAGTGAGCAAGATGTTCCTTCTGATGTGGGAAAGTGGGGATACAATACCTCTCTCTGAAAGGACAATAGTTCTTTGGGGCAGGGGAAGTTTTTCAGTATGGTAAAGACACATTACTTCAGAATCAAGATCTAGGGTGGAAATTAGTTTCTAGGTGTAAGAAACACTCATTTCTGTTTTTCCCTCTGAAGAACAAGTCTGTACAAGAGGGAAAATGTTCTTGAGCAGGGGGAGGAGGGTTCAAAGTGAGAATCCCGCTGGGTGTTGTGGCGCATGCCTGTAATTCCAGAGATTCAGGGGCCTGAAGCAGGAAAATCACAAGTTCAAGACCAGCTTGGGCAAATTAAAGAGACCCTGTCTCAAAATAAAAAAATTAAAATGGCTAGGGTTGTAGTTCCGTGGTAGAGCTCCCTGGGGTTCAGTCCACAGTAACTGCAAAAATAAATAAACAAACAAAATTAACATCCCTGACCTGCAAGATTGGCTTCTTCTGAGGGGAGACAGTATATAATTGGACTGTAGACCTCCTCCTAGGTTGTACAACCCACCTAAAAGAGACATTTTTACCCTCTGTCCTGGTGGTGGGTCCCTCTGCCAGTAACCCTTCCAAGGCGTTGAATAGGCCCCTTTTCACTCTGCAGGGAATGTTCTCTCCACCATTAGACTAGAGAGAATATCCTGCCTCTGAGAGGTGTCATCGCATCTACTTAGAAGGCTGAGGCAGAAGATTCGCAAGTTGGAAGCCAGCATCAGCAGTTTAGCAAGACCCTGTCTCAAAATTAAAAAAAAAAAAATTAATTAAAAAGGCCTGGGGATGTAGCTCAGTGGTAGATATCCCTGGGCTCAATCCCCACTACCACATACTCTCTCTCTCTCTCTCTCTCTCTCTCTCTCTCTCTCTCTCACACACACACACACACACACAAACACACAATAATAAAGAATATACACACACACAGCTCTCTCTCTCTCTCTCTCTTCTCTGAAGTAGGGAAATCTGTGAGAGGGGACACTTTTTTTGTTGTTGTTCATTGAAATTGACCCCATGAGTTAGTGGTATTCTCACAGGAAGATTTGCAGGCTCTCTTTGAGGAAGGCCTGTCTCTGAGACAGAAGAATCACCTTCTCTGTCCTAGAACAGTCTGTCTGTGTCCCTCCAGAGACTACCTGGTAAGGGAAGTCTAAAGTAGAATCTGCATCTCTAAAGGCAGGGAATGGGGGGCAGGGATATAGCCCCTTTGTAAACCACCTGCCTGGCATACAAGACCCTGGGTTCCATCCTCAGCATCAAAGGAAGGAAGAAAGGGAGGGAGGAAGGGAGGGAAGAAGAAAGAGAAATAATCTTGGAAAAATGAGGTTCTCTCTTTAAGTGGTAGTTTATATTCTCTCCCTCTTTTTTCTGACCTTGCAAACTGCTTTTCTCTTAGAGCAATGGAATTTTGTGCCCAAGAGCCAAATTCTCCCTTGGGAATGTTGGGGACAGGGGAGAATGATAACTTTTTTTTCCCTAGAGGGGAAAGAATTATCTTGTTTTTGAGTTTGGGGGGGCTGGTTCCTTCTCAGCTTGGGGAAAATCTGGAGGTGAAGCATCAGTAGCTTCAGTGAAAGGAAAGTCTCTGTGGATACCACAGACTGGCAGAATGCATGCCTGGGAGACTTTGAGACCTCAAGCAAGGCCTTTGCCCTTGGGATCCTTCCCCAAACCCCCAGAATGTGGGGATCACTCCTCCCTGCATTTCTCATCTCTCTTGAAAAAGACCCCTTTGTGGTGCAAGTGCCAGCTCCCTGGTGGTGCGCTGGCACAGAGCTGGGCCCAGCTGGGCAGGAAGCAAGAGGGAGAGACAAGGAGCAATAAAGAGAGGGAGCATAAGGAGACTGATGCTTGGGATCCAAGGGGTTAATTTTTCCTGGCATTTCCTTAACCCCCAAATTACCAACATCTCACTAGGGCCGGGAAGCAATGAAACAACTAGACAGGACCCATTAAGGAAGGGATTTAGTAATCCCTTGTCTGGTTCTAACGCTTTATCCCCTACTAAGAGAGTCATTCCCCTTCTAGCCCGTGCAAACCATAGGGTGGCTTCAGTGATAAAGGAATAAGGTGTTTCATGGCTATGTGTGACACTGTAGATCTAACCTAGTGCCACCTATCTTCTGTAGGGCTTTTCCAGAGAGCCATCATCCAAAGTGGCTCTGCTCTGTCCAGCTGGGCTGTGAACTATCAACCAGTGAAGTATACCAGCCTGCTGGCAGACAAAGTGGGTTGTAATGTACTGGACACTGTGGATATGGTGGACTGTCTTCGGCAAAAGAGCGCCAAGGAGCTGGTAGAACAGGACATCCAGCCCGCCCGCTACCACGTGGCCTTTGGCCCTGTAATTGATGGTGATGTCATTCCTGATGACCCTGAAATCCTCATGGAACAGGGCGAGTTCCTCAACTATGACATCATGCTAGGTGTCAACCAGGGTGAGGGTCTCAAGTTTGTAGAAGGGGTGGTGGACCCTGAGGATGGTGTCTCTGGCACTGACTTTGACTATTCTGTCTCCAACTTTGTGGACAATCTGTATGGTTACCCTGAGGGTAAGGACACCCTGCGGGAGACCATCAAGTTCATGTACACAGACTGGGCAGACCGTGACAACCCTGAGACCCGTCGTAAAACACTGGTGGCACTCTTCACTGACCACCAGTGGGTGGAGCCCTCTGTGGTGACAGCTGATCTGCATGCCCGATATGGCTCACCTACCTATTTCTACGCCTTCTACCATCACTGCCAGAGCCTCATGAAGCCTGCTTGGTCAGATGCAGCACATGGGGATGAAGTACCCTACGTTTTTGGTGTCCCTATGGTAGGCCCCACTGACCTTTTCCCCTGCAACTTCTCCAAGAATGACGTTATGCTCAGTGCTGTCGTCATGACCTATTGGACCAACTTTGCCAAGACTGGGTAAGGAGAAAAATTTTTTCCCTTTGGAATCTCAGCATGCACTCCCTTCTGCTCCACTATCTAACTTCTTTCATCATCTCCCTTCCTTCAGTATTCCCAAAGTCTTGCTTGTTAACCCTTTCACTTCCCCTTCCCTCCTCCCTTTTTGGGATTTTTTAGCCATTTTCCTTCCTTCAAAGATTTTATTGAAGGGATCAGGGGTGTAGCTCAGTGATAGAGCACCAGCTTCACATGTCCAAGGCCCTGGGTTCAATCCCCAGAACCAATAAAGGAAAAATTGTATTGAGACTCACAACTCTGTTAGCATCACAACTGAGCAGAAGTGCAACTTACTGGCAGAATTGTGGGAATCAAGGTTAACCAGTCAGAGGCTGTGTGAAATGACCATAATTTTTTTTACTTTTTATACATTCATAAAGAACCTGTAAAAGCCAGGCACAGTGGCATGTGCCAGTAATCCCAGGTACTCAGGAGGTTGAAGCAGGAGAATCACAAAGTTTGAGGCCAGCCTTGGCAACTTAGTGAGTCTCTGTCTCAAGAGAGACATGGAGGGGAGAGAGAGGGAATGAGAGAGAGAATTAACAGCCTGTAGAGGGCTCTTCACAAAAGTGGGTAGCTGAAAAGATTAATAAATGCTCAATAGTATGAGAGAAGACAAAATATCTACAGCCTGATCTTAGCAGATAAGTACAGGGAAGAGTGAGACAGTTTCTCTGAAGCCCATTTTGGATACAAGGAGTTCAAGCCCTGGGGCAAAGGGGGAGTGGACAGAGGGAGGGACCCTGAAAAAGATGGAAATGGTGATAAATTTTGGACTGGGGAAGAGGTTTAGGGGTAGGTGTGAGAAGAAGGAAACTGGACCCTTCCTTATCCAGGTAGAGTGGTGACCCCAGATTTCCATGTGGTGTTTCAGGGATCCCAACAAGCCGGTCCCCCAGGACACCAAGTTCATTCACACCAAGGCCAACCGATTTGAGGAAGTGGCCTGGTCCAAATACAATCCCCGAGACCAGCTCTACCTTCACATCGGGCTGAAACCAAGGGTCCGTGATCATTACCGAGCCACTAAGGTTGCCTTTTGGAAACACCTGGTGCCCCACCTGTACAACCTGCATGACATGTTCCACTATACATCCACAACCACCAAAGTGCCGCCCCCGGATACCACCCACAGCTCCCACATCACCCGCAGGCCCAACGGCAAGACCTGGAGCACCAAGCGGCCAGCCATCTCTCCTGCCTACAGCAATGAGAATGCCCAAGGGTCCTGGAACGGGGACCAGGATGCCGGGCCTCTCCTGGTGGAGAACCCTCGAGACTACTCCACTGAATTAAGTGTGACCATCGCTGTGGGGGCCTCCCTCCTGTTCCTCAATGTTTTGGCTTTTGCTGCCCTCTACTACCGGAAGGACAAACGGCGCCAGGAGCCTCTGAGGCAGCCTAGCCCCCAGAGGGGAGCTGGAGCCCCTGAATTGGGAGCTGCTCCTGAGGAGGAGCTGGCAGCATTACAGCTTGGACCCACTCACCATGAGTGTGAGGCTGGTCCCCCCCATGACACACTGCGCCTCACTGCATTGCCCGACTATACCCTGACCCTGCGGCGCTCCCCCGATGACATCCCACTCATGACCCCCAACACCATCACTATGATTCCCAACTCCCTGGTAGGGCTGCAGACATTGCACCCCTATAACACCTTTGCTGCAGGGTTTAACAGTACCGGGCTGCCCCACTCACATTCCACTACCCGGGTATAGCTCCAACCCAGAGCACAGCTCATCTCCCAGCTCCCTCCCTTTCAGATCCACAAACACATGCACATATGCATGTGCGCACGCACGCGCACACACACACATACACACACACACACACACACACACACACATATATACATATGTATACGCACGCACCCACACCCTACAGCAGACCCATCTGCACAAACATAGACAGATGTGGACATGCACCCGCATGTACAAAAACACAAATACTGAAGTAAACCTGGACAAACCCTGCAAATGGGGACACAAATGAGTCCTTGGTAAACCAAGGATCCATGAAACAGCAGCTGAAGCCAGCTCCCTGAGCCTGACCACAGACACTCCTGGGGGGCCTGAAAGCAACAGCTGGACACCCCCTTGGTGCTCGCCTTTGGCCTCTCTTGGAACTGCACCAACGACCAACTCCAGACTTGGGAGCTTTAAAGAGCAGAGTAGCTCTTCCTCCCCCAGACTTGGTCTTTTTTCTGGGTCTTGTTTTTGTTGATTTTTTTTAAAATTTTTGGAACAAATGCTTTTCCAACCCATGAGTGCTAAGAGGCTCTGGAAGGGAGGGTTCCAGGCTCAGATCTTTCTGGTTTTGGAACCCCCAGTGCTCACACAATCAGACCAAGGAACAGGACTCCCAAGAAAGGAACAGATTTGAGCACAACCATGGGGTGAATGGAGGAAGGGGCTAATGATGGATGGGGCTGGAGGGCCATTAAAGAGAGATTTCCAACCTTTTCTGTGTCCCTGTGGAGGGATGCAGATCCTGCAGGGTGACCTGTTTCCCCTGAAGGCAAACAGCATTGACCTGGCTAGACCAGGGGACCCTAGGTTTGGCAAACAAGGTACTGTGGAGGCCATGTCATTATTACCCCCTCCCCACCCCACCCCCCGGGTATATAATCTGGGTTCTGCCTCTGCCCTTGGGGAAATGCTATCAGAAATTCACCCCATTTTCTTTACAGTCTTTTGTGTCTGTCATTTCTCTTTCAAAAAGGCGGTGTTTTTGTTGTTGTTGGCTTTTTTTTTTTTTAAAGAAAAGTTCTTAAAACACTAACGGAAACCCATGGAGTTTGTCCTTTGTAAAAATTTTAAACACAGTGTCTTGATATAAAAATAAAAAATCCAGTTAGCACTCCCAACCTGCCTCCCTTGCACAGGCCTTGCCCCAACAGACCTCGGGGCAGGGTGCCCCTGCGGGCTAGAAATCAGGCAATCAGGCAGCCTCCATCAACCTCCCCTACCTTAAGCTGATACAAGTCTGGGCTGCACTCTGCTGGCCCCCTGCACAAAGACCTCTCTGATCTTAATCAGGTTGCTGTCCCCATTCCCCTGCCCCCCAGCACTCTGGGTTCTTGCAGCTGAAGCCTCCTCTCAGCACCTTGGGCCTCCTAATGAAACAGCAAAAATAATACTTCCTTCCTTCTCTGTGCCACCACCACTGCTGCTGCTGCTACCACCGCCTCCTCCTCCTCTTCTTCCGCCTCCTTCTCTGCTGCCATCACCACCAACGCTACCACCCTGCCCTCATCTTGGACTGGGGGCTAGGAGGAGGTTTGACCTCTAACATGCTAAAGTTTTCTTGTATCCAAATCCAGTGCGGCATCAGCTATGTGGACTCCCTGGCCTTGGGTGACGTCAGAGCAGGTCCCTTCTCCTTCCCGAGGGATACTTGTTTCCTGTTCTGTGAAGTAGAATTAGAGAAGTTACTGGGGTCCTGAGAATGATTTCTCTACAGGATTGTGATCAGTGAGCCCCCTGACAACTCCAGGGGACAGATTCAGTGAGGCGCCACAGGGTTAGCATTATGGGATTTCACATGATTCTCAGTGACTTGAAGAACTGAATGGGGAGTCTGCTCATCAAGTTTGACATTGGGCAGGGTTGCCAATAGCTCAGAAATCAAAAATAGAATTCTTAAAATTGACCCTGACAAAATGAGGGAGATGAACCATCACAGCCAGAATGATGTTCAGAGAGGATGAACACAAGTTAGCATGCACAGAGACCAACACCCAGAACTAATATACTAATATGGCACATAGTACAAGATTGGCAATGATTAACTTGACAGATGTATAGTTTTTAAAAAAAGAACAATGGGAAAGAGGGTGTACAAGTTGAATGAGTCCACAGTTGTAGAACTGGTTTTCTCCCTTTTTCACCCCTGCTTCCCTCCCTTCTTTCCTTTCTTTTTTTCCAAAACTAATGAGGAATACTAGTATATAGTAACAAAAATAGAGCATGGAGGAGCTGGAAGGTAATCAGAGTGTATCAGAACTAGGAGTAACCCCAGAGTTATCTAGTCCAATCCACCTATTTTATAATTGGGCAAATGGGTCCCAAAAAAAACCCATTTTAGTTAGTGGTAGAAACAGAGCTGGAAGGCAACCCAATAACAGATGACCCTCCCTACAGTCCTGCTCCACTTGTTCCTTTCTACCAGCCATTGGTTATATCTTCCAAAGCATTAATGGATCTGCCCTTGGTGAGTACATTTTTAACATATGTGGAAAAGTAGAGAGGATTTGGAGAAGAACAAAAGCAATGTGCCAAAGAACTTTTTTTTTCTTTTTTAAGCTAGAAAAAAAAGAAAGGTAACATCCAACGAGCACAACTAGACTACTAAGTGACACGTGTACTATGGTCATCTTCAATGACAGGATAGAGATGAGTTCTCTCATGACCTGTGTTCCCCATTTCTTCTGAGAGTGATAGAGAAGAAAATTAGATTAAGTAAACCCAAGGAAAGACTTTGCTATGCATAGGAAGTAATTATGGGCACCCAGTAAATTCCCAATAACAGTTGACAAATGGAATGAATGGCTACTGAGGAAAGTATTGATATCCTTCATCTTTCTGAGAGCATAGGGCTGGAGTACATCACCTTTTGAGATAAATTCAGAGTATTTATTTTTTGCTCCATTTCAGATACTTCCAAATAGGGCCTCCCATTTTGGTGTGTGTGTGTGCGCACGCACACACACACACACACACACACACACACACACGTGCACAAGTGCCTCCAAGTAGAAGGCTATATATTTTGGGGTGATTTAGACATTGCTTCTCTTCTCACCACCTCAAGGTGCCATAGCAAACCCAGCTCCAATTCTATTAGGGACCTGTCAGGGAGAGATTGTAGTTGGTCTTCACACCTTTGAAAGGCCTGAATAAAGGAGGTAAACTTCAGGACAGGCAGGAGATTTCAAGCTCATTGACAGTCAGTTGTGTGCTCATGTAGCTTGAGATTCTTGGCCCCATTGCTGACCAACGGCATTGCCCAACCAAAAAAACACAGATCTTTGAAGAGAAGATTAGGATATACTTGGATTTTATTCCACATTGCAAAGATCTTTAGTGCCTAGATTAGATCCAGCCCACATCTCTAGGTTTATCTGATTTCTATTTTAGTCCTTTGGGGAACTGGACACAGCTATCTTGGGATATGAATTAGTGGTGTATGTGAAGGATCAGAAGTTGGTCACTGTGGAAATCTCCACAGAAGTATGGTAACCAGGACTGTAGGCCTGGCCCTGTGCTGGTTTATATATACTGTGAGGCATGGAAGATACCCACTGTGGGGTGCATACTATTAGGAAGACAAAGCTGAGCCATGATAAAATGAATGAAATGTATAATTTAGTATGTGACTTCAATTGTACAGTAAAGATTAAAAGGACTGGAGAAATTGTACGAAATGCTATGGTCGGATATAAGTGGGTAGAGTAGCGGGCATTCCAAATTGAGAAATAAAACCTCAACCAGAGCATGGAGATGACATGGTCTGGGCATACTTGAGGAACAGTGAGGGGACTGGCCTGACCAAAGCAGAGGGTTTGAGTTTAATGATAGGAATCAGATTGGCAAGTCATGTTGTAGAAGTCTTCATAACAGAAGAGAGCTTGGGTGTTACTGAATAAACAATGGGATGCCCTGACTGGATGCTTTTGCTAATGAGAAAATAAAGCCTTCTCAGCCCCACTTTGCTCTTTCTGTTCTCCAAGGAGAAGGATTTTCAGAATAGAAAGGACAAGATGAACACCAGAGACAAGCTCCTGAAGACAGTCTCATCCCAGGGTGCCATGAGCTGCCCTGAGAAACTCCAGCTCAGAGTCTAGGTCAATAACTGCCCTGACCATTTGGAGGACTCACAGCTCAACTGCAGGACAAATGGTGGTGGCTTTACAAACCCCAGGGAGAATGGAAATGATGCATGCTACTGCCTAGAGATGAGCAAACATGGCCCCCACCATTTTGCAGGTAGGAAAAAATAAATTCCACAAATTTATAGATCAATAAGTGTGATATTAATCAAGGGCAAGATTCTCAGACAAATGATTAAAAGAAGGTTGGTGAGCACTTAGAAAAGAAAGTGAAGATCACTCAGCTCCTGGACTTAGGGGAAAAAATTCCCACTCAATTCATTTCCTTTGATAGGGAGATTGGACAGGTAGAGGAGTGGAAAGCTATACCCACAATGTATTTGGAATTCAACAAAACATTCTCTCAATACTCTTGGGACAATATAGATAAAATGCAGGGTGGGTAGAAGTAAAAATTGGTGGACTTTTAACTGGTTAAGTGACTACATGCGAAATAATTCTGTTTGGGGCTAGGGATATAGCTCAGTTTGTAGAGTGCCTGCCTTGCATGTACAAGGCCCTGGGTTCAATCCCCAGCACCACACAAAACAAAATGAAACAAAAGGTTCTGTTTTAATGTCACCAGATCAGACTTATAAATTACACAAAACTGGTAAAGTCCCTTATTTGAATTTCAAAATGTAACAGTACGAGTATAGGATGTGGCCTAAAGGATTTTTAGAGAAAATGAAAGCTCATCATGAGTTGAGTCAAATGGATGGTTTGGTTGCTACAAAAAGTATTGTGACCTTGGACTATATTAATAAGTCAGGATAAAGGAGGTGATCACCTGTGCTACTCTGTACTGGTCAGGCCACACCTGATGCCCCCTGTTCGTTCAGTTATGAGCACCAGACTTCATGGGGGATATTACCAAAAATATACTCAGAATAGTGGTGATGATAGTGAGGGGGCTGGAGAATCCCAGGGAAAATTTGTCTATTGTTGGCAAATTGTTTCTGGGTTCATGGGGAAGAGGAAGCTGTAGTTTTGTTCTGTGTGACTCCAAAGGCTCTGAGATCTAATAGATGGAAGTTATAGGAAAGCAGATTTGGATCAACATAAGTTGCTCTTTTTCTTTTCTTTTTTATAATGAGAAATTGTAATAAAAGTTTCAACTCATGATTCCAGCCTCTTGAAGTCCTTTAAAATTTATTACCAACAGTTTCAAAAGCAGAAGAAAAAATGTCCTATGGCGGGGTGCAGCTCAGTGATGGAGTGCTTGCTTGCCTGGCATGTGTGAGACCCTGGGTTCCATCCCCAGCACTGCAGAAAACAACAAAAATGTCCTTACCCCAACCCTAACATAAAACCACTTGTTGGGTTTAGAAGGGACTTTCTAAAGATTAGTAGTACTTTGAAATTAGAGTGAAATGACCCAAATGGTAAGCAGATGCCTATCACCAGAGATAGTCAAGCAGTGACTGGACAACCACTCCAGGCAGATGATGCAAAGGTGATAGAAGTGTCCGATAAAAAACTGAACCAGATGACCTTTAGGATTACTGAGATTCTATGACATTTGAGCTGGAAGGTCTCATGGTAAAGTATTCAGGAAAATATTTCTGGGGCATAGGTGTAAGGAGGACTGGAGGAGGGGAGATTGGAAGTAGAGATAGTAACTAGTTAAGAGGCACCCGCTCTGAGGGCTCCAACTATTTCACCTCCAGGCCCCTTACCACCTGAATTTCAAAATTATGGTATCCAAAGCAGCTTTACTGGTTGCCTAGTTCCCTACCCTTATGTTCCAAAGCTTGATTGCCTTATGCAACCTCTTTGCCAAGTAGTTATCTTGTTTCTGCTTAAATAACTCCAATGACGGGAAAATCTCATCTTTTCAGGGTAGACCATTGCATGCTGGATCATCTCAAACTATTATGAAGTTCTTCCTTAGGTTCTGTCAAAGTCCATTTTCCCGTAGCGCCCACCCTTTGCACCTAATCACTAAAGCAAAACAAAGGAAATCCCTCTTCTATATGTCTGAAAACTGAATCCTG